CAGCACATATTATATACCAATCATCATACCATAAAAATACACATGTTTCAAATGCTGCAACTAATTTTTTATTACAGTTAGAATATTTACCAATCAAACATACTACAAATGTACATGTTTAAAAAAAAAAAAACTGCAACTAATTTTTTCATGGCAGTTAAAATAATAAATTTCTATTATACAATTATAAATAGCACAAATAAACAATTTCAATCTATACAAATTGGCAGGTATTCCTACAACATAAGAACACATATTCAAATATAGCTAATCATTCTTGTAAAATGGCTATAATAGTGCCCAATTTCTTCAAATAATTAAAAACATCTACAGGAAAACAGGAACCAATTCCCAATTGCAACAAACATGAAATATCCAAAATTATTCAGTACATAATTATTATTCAGTACATAATTATTATTGATTCAGTACATAATTATTATCAAACTTAATTATTTGAGAGCAGTTGCGATTGACCGTGGATTTTCTCCCGTGATTATTGATAAGCCGTCAAAAAATTTTCAGATTCCCATCAAAGAAGCATTCTACTGTTAGAAATAATATCAATGACTTGTCGTGTTCCATTTTATCCTTCTGTTAGCTATAAAATTGCACGGATTCTCCAGAAATTCAATTTTCAAGTCGGTTTCTCCCCTATTAATAAAATTCACCTTCGATTCTAAAAGATTGCGTTTCTGTCTTGAATCTGGGGAATTTATAGTTATCATGTCAGTGTGGTTTAAGATATATTGGCCAACAAAAAGAGCGTTGAAGTTCGTATCAAGGAACATGAATCTTATGTCAAAAAGGGGATTAACAAGTCTTCAATCGCGTATCTAGCTGGACTTTAACCATAATTTTGATTTTGGTCTGCAAAATCATCCAAAAGGCTTCTTCCATAGGCGAATTGGATTTCTTGAGCTTTTACATTCAAAAGATTTAGAAAGTTTAGTTAATGATTTGAAGTCCAATCCAGTCCTTCCTATGCCTTAAAATTCTACTGTCTTAATTCAATTATTTTTGCCGATGATGGCGCTACCTCCTCGCACTTGGTACTACCAGAGGGTATAAAACTCCGTTCAGTGGTTGCTTTCCATATTTGAAGTTCAGTTTGAGCGTAATGTGCATTTGCCCCTCGCGCCTATTTTAACTTCGCTATATTTATTAATTAATAATATTATATAATCGCTATAAATATTATATAATTAATATAATGTTTTTTTTGTACACATTGACAAAAATCTAGTACGTAAACGAAAGACAACAAGTTGCCATATTTATTCTAAGTTTGTCAATTTATTTTAGTTAAGAGGTATTAGTGGTTAATCAACATTTAGAATATTTAAATAAATGTAATCGAAACTAAATTGTTATAGAAAATTTGAATTAAAAGAGAATAACAGAAAATTTGCAAAGTTCAACCCTAGATTTGAGGGGGGAAAATACAAATGGAATTTTTTCTTGCGTCATGTTTGATAAATAGTTAATAAATAAATTTAAAATCTGTTAAAAAATAATTATTTTGTTAAAAAACTTAATTTGGTAAATAAAAAAAAAAAAAAAAAGGAAGAAGAAGAAGAAGAATAGACCCACATGCAATTGGTCTGAGACACTATTTAGTTATTGTTATTGCAACAGAATAAATGTTTCCAGTGAACCACTAGAAAATGTAATTATATCTTACATAGCTTTCGAAGAATTCTTCAGACTTTTCAAACTTCTATCAAAGAAAAATGCTCTCTAGATTTAAAATTGATGAAAAAACTTGAAGAAGAGAAAAGACTTACGCTTCAACGCGGAAGAAAAAATAACATGAATGATAGAGATGATGCAAAGATAATGGGAGAGAAATGTAAAATGTAAAATAACAAACACACAGTATTTTTACTTTGGATATGATCAGAAAATTTGAAAAAGATACTTTTAAGCAAGCAACATGATCAAAACACCCACAGGGCTTTCAACATCGTGAGTGCGCGTGTGCTCGGAAAATTACTTTCCACCGAGAAAACTTAATGTCTGCGCAGGTTTCAGTGCGTTTTTAACCTGAAGCAACGACAAGTGAGTGGCAAATTTACTCAGAAAAGAGAAATTCCACGAGTTGTGAACGTGTCATTAGCAGCAAATTTGAATTTTCATGACAAGCCAAGATTTACATATATTAGTATTTACTTCTCTGGTTTATATTAAGAGTATAAGTAATATCCAGTTTATTATGTCCAAAGGATGGAATCCGAAGGAATTAGTTAGTTTTGGCATTTTGCTCGGAATCATAAAGGCGGTTCACTTTCAACTGGTGCCACAAACGTTAGAGTCCTGCAGTTATTTGAAGAAATAAATAATGAAAATTCGATAAATGTATGTTATTTCTCGTATGTGATAAAACAAGGACATAGATCATCGAATTTTGAATCGTAATCCTCCACGAATATGAGCATGGGAAGACAAATTTGAAATTTGAATTTGTTATGATCGAGTTCCTATTTTTAAACTTTGAGAATTTTTGATTAATAAACTCAGGATCAAAGCGAGCAATGAAACGTGTTGAGAAAAAACTTTTTGATCCCAGCGCGCTAGTTCGATCGGAAATTCTAAATATGTCGTTTTAAAAAATTTTGCGATATTGATGTGCACTGGATTTATGTTAAGTGCGAGGAACTGATATTAAAAAGAAAGGTAACACACAAAATGTTAAAAACGACCCTTGGACGTAATTTAAATCTGAACATTAAGATTTTTTTTTTTTTTTTTTTTTTTTTTTTTTTTTTTTTTTTACACAGTCAGATATTTCAGTTTACCAGCTAAATAATTGTAATTAATTACAAAAAAAAAATATAATAAAAGGAACAAAATAATAACTATAAAATAACAAAAAAATTCGAATTAAAGGCTATAATATTAAACATACAAACAGACAATTCCCAAATGCGAACTTATTCCCATGGAAGTGCAGAGCAATCCAGTACTTAATAGTGTTAAATATTCTATGCGTTGAGTTAAACACACAATATCATTATAACATGTCAGATGGGAAAAAAAAATTAAAAGGCTACCCTAGTGAAATATTATGCGAAGGTGTTGGAAACGTATACATCTCATTGCAAATATTAATAATTTGAGTTAATCTGTGCTGAAGAATTGTCGTTTTAATAGTGTTTTAGTCCATTCACTCCAATATAAGTCTGATGGTCTTTGCAGATGAAATTCAGCGGTGAGTGGGCAAGAAAAAGCACAATGGTCTGGAGACCTACTTCCACAGTGACATTGTCATCTTTTTAGATGAAATCGGAATAAAAAACACGACGAAAAGGGACGTGTCCCGTGAGGAAAAGTTGACTGCGCTGCAGATGAAACAAAAATGTTTCCGAGACCTTTGGCAAAAGTTCTTCTGCCCGTTGGAGTGTTCCACTTTTTTGCCATTGTGGAGTAAGTTCCTTTTGTTATATCTATTAATATAAAGTAAAAAAAAAAGGCAATGAATATTGAGGAAGATTATTCCCCTAACCGCTTCTTTTGCCAACTGGTCTGCCAACTCATTGCCATAAATCCCCCTATGAGCGGGAACCCAGCTCAATAAGGGTCTAGAAGAGGCAGGAAGGTTAAGAAGACGGATTTTTATCTCTGCTACTATTGTATTTCTTGAATACTGAACTACTGATCCAATTTCCGTTTTAGAAATAATTATTTCATTTTAATATCTGTACATTTTTTTATTATCTCTTCAGCTGTGCCTGGATATTGGTTTCGAAATTCTGTAAAACTGAACCCATTTATATGCATTGTCTTAGCAAGTCTTTCGCCTCGGCATGTTGTAACTTAAGTGATATATAATTTTTGTGAGCAAAATATTATTATTAAAAAAGTATTTAGAGAAATATAGAAATTTCAGGCTTCACAAGCGTTCTGTTAAACATTAATCTTCCTTCTGTTAAACATTAATAACTTGGGGTTAGTGATGCACATTTTGACCATTAATTATAACGGACCTGCTTGCGATTATAATGATTTTTCTTGAATGTACTGACGGATCTGTGATTTATTATTGCAAGTGTGTAGTATTTGGAGCGGTACCGTACGATGAGAAACAGCGGGGTTTTAAACTATCAGAAAAATATAAAATTGCATTTATATTTCACACACTGGATATTTCAAATTTCCATTGAATTGTCCATATTAACAGCGTGAGTTGAAATGCTACAAATAGAGAGTTTTTTCGTTATTAATAACTACAGCTTGTTTTGTCTTTAAAATCAACTGGAAACCAAATTAAAAGAACTCAAACACACAATAATAAAATTTGTCGTTATTTAAACATATAATTTATACTCCAATATATCCGCATATTCTTGGAACAAGTGATATCAACGATTGAAATCACTAGAAAACTACAGGTTTTAGCAAAATTCAAAAAGCATATCTGAAATTAGCATACAGAAATACATAAAAAAACTAGCTTTCCTTATTTTGTGACAAAAATCTCTAATAATCAATTAGCAAGAATTTAAAACTATCTGAAATTTCGCATTCTTTATAAATAATTCTACAGTTTTGGACAATGAATGGGGACACAAACATTCAGAAAACAGCCCATCAAATTTAATTTCTAAACTTGAATAAAAAGTCCGTATCTGCTCAGTATGAGTCGATAAACCTGATCTTTGTAGATATTTTACGTAAGAAATAGTTAAAGAACACTGATAAGGTAGATGCTATTCCCTTGAATGTAAACTTTAAAAAATAAGATGTAAATAATATATTTTTGAATGGTTGGCTGCGCATATAAAACAGGTATGGTGCTTAAAAAATCATTAAAGAAAAAGTAAAAAATATTTTATATTTAAACAAATATTTTTAAAAAAAATTAAGCGAGATTCTTTAATAATAATTATGTACGTTATTGATGGAGTAGTATTATGTTAAATAACCAATGGCGCATTATATAAATTAATCTGTAATAAAAAATGTACGCTTCTTCAAAAAATTAAAAGCTGTTAACTTACCAAGTCTAGTCGCTCTGCAATAAAGTCATCTATTACTTCTACTACTGCACTGGAAAAAGTTCTATTTTGTGACCAGAAACGTCTTACAAGAGAAGTGGTTAATTCACATGCCATAGCTAGGTCTTCAGTAACGGTTTGTCCAGCTCGTGAGATGAATTGCAGCACAACTCGCATTGTGCGAGACGTTAAACAGTTACTCAAATTTTCAACAGCTCTGGAAACCTGTTTTCAACACAATATAAAAATAGTACAAATGTGATTGCTTTGCGGAGGTATGACAAGTAGTTTAGATATCGAATATTTAAAAAAATTATTAAAAAAAAAAATCTGAAATGTTTCAGATTTTAAATTACGTCCAAAGGGGCTTTTTTTAACATTTTGTGTGTTACCTTTTTTATTAAATATCATGTTCCTCGCACTTAAACCATAAGATCCAGTGGCAACAGCAATATCGCAAAATAGTTTTAAAACGAGCATATCTTTAGAATTTCCGATACAGAGACTCACGCGCTGGAGAGAACGATAAAAATGTTTTTTTTCTGCACAACGTTGCCATTGCTCGCTTTGAAATCCTTGAGTTTGTTAATCAAAAATTCGTCAAGTTTTAAAAAATAGGAAATCGATCATAAAACAAATTTCAAATTTCAAATTTGGTCTTCCACATGCTCATATTCGTTGGAGGATTACGTTATTCAAAATTCGATGACTCTATGTACCGTTATTTTATTACAATGTGAGAAATATACATACATTTACGCAGATTTTCATTATTTAATTTCTTCAAATATAATGCAAGGGCTCTTAACATTTTGTGGCAACAGTTTGAAAAGTGAACCGACATTTATGATTCCGACGCAAAATGCCAAAACGAAACTAATAGTCCTTCGGGATTCAAATCCCTTTGGACTAATAATAAACTGAGAATTAAAATTAGAGGCTATCAAGTAAACTGCGTGATAATATTAAAGTTTTGTATGTTAAATAAATTTTAAAATAAATTTAAAATACGCGGTTCAGAGAAGTAGCATAAGTTCATATCTTATGATTTATTCACACAAATAGGATATAATATTCAACTAGTTGAAACTTCTGTGATTGAATGATGTGTAGACAGTGTTGTTAATTTACGAGTTGTTGGGGGTTTCGGTCCCTTAGAGAAGAGGAAATATGATAATTTCATTAGAGATTTGATCTCACCAATGCAACGATTACATTTCAAAGATTTATTAGTGGTTGATGTAATAAGGTCACCGTGATAAATTGAGTTTAAATTCCATGATGAATTCATTTAGATAAGTAATTAAAGCTAATTTAGTTTTATTTAATGAAAAATGTATGCGAATAACTGAGATCTCCAAAGAAACGAGTCTTATATTAATGAGCTACAAAAAATCGTCAGTGCAATTTAAATAAATACAAGATAGTTTATAAAACGTGAAATATAATGTTATATTATTAACAACAGAAAGAGTAATTCAACAAAACTTACTAACTGAAATTTGATTCAGAAGAAGAAAATGAATTAAAGTTGTAACAAATTTTTATACAGTTACTAAGCTTATTTAATGCTCCTTTTGATTTCAATAATTGGCTAAGCCAATTTGCCCAGTATTGTTCTGTAGGTTGTCGTAAATGAGAATTTTTGGTATGTACGCAATTAAACGACACAGGCCGAAAAGGGGATTGGTTTGTGCCTGGGGAGCCTTTTGGCAGCATCGAAAAGTGCAGTTTGACTAAACATATTATGCTTTGCATGTGGTAAGATTGCCCTGGCATTATCCACAAACAGTATCTGGAATAATGTAAAACCCTCGACTGTAAGTGGACAGCGAGTTGCTAGTCCGAGTTGACGCTGCTATCAAGAAAAAACGTCGAACTGAGTTCCGGCGAAAAGATATAATGTTCGATCAAGATAATGTAAGACCACATGTGTCTGCATTCACCGGCTGCACTCTGTAGAGACTCGAATGGGATCTTTTGCCACACCCACCATACAGCTCCGACATCGTTCCTTCGGAATTTTACCTTTTTTCATACCTGCAGCTTCATCTTGCTGGTGCTACTTTCCATTCTGCACAGAATGTCCGAAGTTGATCTGTTTTTGGACTCGTGGTGATCAAGTTTCTGGGCCGAAGGCTTTGAATAACTACCAAAACGTTAGCAGAAAATTATACATTCTGTACGTGATTACTATCCGCACTAAGGGTAGTGTTTTCATTTTTTTCCTTAACTTTTTAAGAACGCTTTTTAACGGAAAACTTTCGTTACAACCAGATATATATTCTTATTATGAAACAAAAGTGTAGTATTTCTAAAGGAAAGTAACTTTCAGCGATACATTAAAACGGTGCATCCGAAGTTTGACTCAGAGTATTCTGAATTTTCTGAGCTTCGAAGAAATAAAATTTTTCATTAAAGTCATGGATTTCGAAGCAACGATCCACTTTTACCCAAAACGTTATAAACATCAAATGCAGCAAAAAACGTATCGATTAAAGTTTCGCATATAACCTGCTGAAAATACCATATACGGATGCAGCCTATAATTATGGGACGTTTTTACGAATATGAATTATCTAAAGTCTAATTATAGTTCAAAACTTACTGATTCGCACTTAGATAACTGTTCAAGAACATGCATCTCAAATTATATTGTCGATTACAATAAGTTAGTAGACGAATTACAAACACAAATTTTACACTGAGAGATCAAAGAAAAAATATTTAAAGAACATAAATTATAAATACTTGTTATTTAGTTCAATAAAGTTGTATCTCTTAAACAAAACTAGTTTTCAATATGGCGTTTCATGTTTGATTATAAGAATGAATGAGTGGCACACGCTAAAATTAAAAATTTTATATTAAATTTTTATTTCGGTATCGGTTTCAATCATGATTGTGATGTTGTTTTCCATAAACGCGACATTAATCATAAGAAACTGAAAGAATACTTTTTTGATGCGACTGTTTGAACGAACAAAATAACTAAAATGGTTCTTAAAATATATTTGGGAAGCATATTTCGTCATCTGCTAGAATGGCATCAGCACCAATTTTGGGGACACCTATTACATCAATTCACTTTCTCTCCATAATAATTATTTGATTTTATTATCACTTTGTTACACAAATGTTGTTAAATATAACAATTAGCTTGGATGGGGAAATTCATTCTCATTAGAAAAGTTTGGAATAAGAGTATTGTAACGACATATTTATCCTTTTATGTGACTTGATTTTTAATTGAATTAAAAAAAAAATTCCATTAGTTTAAGATTTTTGCCTTTTACTTTTTTTTGTATCGAAATCTTTAATAATATTAAATTTACATTATAAAGATAAAGTTTTTCTTTTCTTGTTTGGTGCAGAAGAATCAGTTCTACTTCGTTTCGATGGCATAGCGGTCTCTCAAATCTGAGTAGCTGTAATACATGTAACAAACACGATATAACAATTATAACATGTCATAACAAAGACACACTCCGTAGATACAAAATAAATTATTACAGCTAAGCGTCGATTCCACGCAACATGTCCGAGTATGTACATTAGCTAGACAATAGTGTGAGGGGTGAGTAATCGAGCTGTGTAGCGCTCAAACCTAAGACGAATCGACGAGATTTGAAAATTACCTAACTCCGGGTAAGTCGGGATAGCGTAAGTTGAGGTTACTGTATTAAGAGAAACGTGATATGAAGCACTTAATTCACTCCAGTTATTTACATTATTTAATATTTTAGCAATTATTTGATTAAAATAAAAATAGTACTCACTCTAAAACCATCAGCAAAACTATTTCTTACAGCTCGAATTTCATCTCTATTTAAACCTAAGAAGCAAAAATCGACATAGTTTTGAGCCACATAAAAAAAATTAAAAATTACAGAATATATAATAAGCAAAAAGTACCTTGAAGCTCAGCGTCTGACAATGCGGGCATTCTTCTGTTATTCAGTCTGTCAGCTACACATCTTAAATTTCCAGCAAGTACCCTAATTCTTTGCCTCTGCTGAAAATTTAAAGGAGCTAGAAAAATTTTGATATATAATATTTAGTGAAATAATACGAAATATTTATGAATAATTAATACAGAAAAATTTCCAAATAAATAAAATTCCGATTCAGTGAATTTCATTTAACTGCAACCCAGCTTCATCGAAATGTTGCTGGTAAGACGACATTAAATCTATGATTTCAAAACCAATCCGTAACATTTATTTCCAACAGTAGTTTATTTTTCTTGTGCGCCAATTTTTGCACTAAATGCATATTTTAAAATGAAAGCTGTGTGTTATATTCCAAATATGTTATCTTTAAAATTCCTTCCAGTAGATTACTTTCAAATATCTGCGCTCATGAATGGATATATCAAATACATCCCGTCGTAATAAGAGATTTTCAAGTAGTAGTTGACAGGAACAGAAGCTATACATTCAAATAAATTTTAAAATATGCTTTTACAGAATATGAGATTTTTGGAATTTTTTGGAGAAATGTATCAATGTAAAGCGCCAATCCTATAACTCATATTGACAGCATTCCACAAGAGATTTTTCGATTTTGAAAATTTATTGATTTCTGAACTAGAAATTTATTTTCAGATGCTTTCTATCAGTGGTAACACATTGGCGGTCTAGAAGCAATTTCATGCGGCCCGTTAATAGATTTGAATTATGTATTTGTTGCAAATGCGGTTTTGAAGATTTCAAGATGTTAGATATTTTTACATTATTTTATTATTTTATCGGTTTTATTATTTTACCGGTTTATTTTATTATTTTTAGCGGTTTATTAATTACCGTTAAGAAAGAACATGAATAACCATTCATATACAATCTGTAAATGGAGATAATTAATTTATGATGTGATATAAATCTTATTCCAAAATTGAAAAGATACAGGCTTTATTAACTTTTATTCTTCTTGCCAAAAAAAAAAAAAAAAAAAAATCACTCAGTTACGAATTTTTTCTTGAACTAAAAATAATAGCTCTTTTGGGAATACATCTATATGTGAATAGCAGTTTTTCATAGTTGAAAATTAAAAACAAAAGAATCCGGTTAAGCGAAAAGCGCTTACAATCCGTAATGATGGGAAATTTACAATAGTTTCTATTCAATAAACTTTATTAGAATCGAAACGCCATTCTGCCAAGCTGAAATAAGTGGCAAGCTATAATAAGAAATAAAGATGTTTCTACTTATTTACACGCAAACATGTGCACTTTTATTTATGCGCTGGAGGAAAATTTAATAAATAAGAGAAAGAGACTATATTGTCATTATTTACTGTCAAGTTTTGTCCCACTCTGAAAGTTCTCATAATTTGTTAATTTTTAAACTAAAGTAAGTTATTTAATGATTCATTAAACATATTAAAATATATGAAATAAATGTGAACCTGAAAATTTAACATTTAGCTGTCAATGCATTTGAATTACTAATTACAACCAACAAAAATGTCTAGCAGATACCAAACTTTCAATTTCAGATAATAATTATTTAATTTTGGAGGATTACACCCATAAATACCATGGGACAACTGCACTAATGTCTAAAAAAAGTCGTTGAGTGAAATAAATAATGGGGTTGTATAGCTTTTCAAAAATGTCGCCAAAAACAATGTTAGTAACCACTGCATGACGCATAGCCAGGCTTTTGACGCAAAATAATTATCGCCCAGTTATAAGAATACTCTTGATGAAGTCCTCAAAGTCATTAACTTCACAAAATCTCGGACAATAAATAATCATTTATTCAAAATACTACGCGAGGATATGGGAAGTTTACATACATCCCTTCTTTTAATACCGAAGTCAGATGTTTATCTCGAGGAAGCAGCATTAACCCGTATTTTTGAGCTAAGAAAAAATGGGGAGCAGGGTTTTCTTTTTTTTTTTACACAGTTTCGAATTGAGAGGTTGATCATCGGATAGGAATTGGCTCCTTAAAATTGCCTGTTTATGCGACACTTTTACAAGGATGAATCAACAGCTCATTTAAAGGAGCGAACAAGTATATGTATTTACTGCTCAAGATTCTTTTTTTAAAAAAAAAGAATTTTTGACGATCTGTTGGATGCTCAAACGATTTTGATTGCTTCACAATAATAAAGAGGCTTTTCTGAAGAGAAAGGGGTTGAAATAGGGAATATTTTTATTGAAGAAAATATTCAGCGCCTGAAAGGCTTGAGTGAAGCTCTTAATTCGTATTTTTCAAATGAACAGCAGACCAAATATCAAAATGAACTGTGTGTAGAAAACTTATTTATTGCCTACCTTCGACCATGTCAGCAGAAGAGTACGAAATGATATCTGATACATCGCTGCAAGGAAAATTTTAAATAATGCTATTAGTGCGATTCTGGTGCAGTTTAAAAAGATCAATATCCTAACTTTCCGAAAGTAATATTGGCCCTTTTAACCATTTGCAACTACATGAAACAGGGGTTTAGCTGTATGTGTCGAGAAAAAAGAAATAAAGCAACAGACTTGATGCCGAACATGACAGAAAAATTCAACTATCGTTCATAAAGACTAATGTTAAGTATAACTCCGATACTAGTACCAGAAGTGAAGAAGCGCGACGTTATTAGCTGACTTGAAATAGTGCCTAAATGTCACGAACAAATAAATTAAGGATCATGTTTAGATGCAGTCCGTAAAAACGGAAGCGTTGATCTGAGGCGAAAGAAACGGTTAAGTCTTGTTTAACTACGTTATTTTAAGAATTTTTACGTTAATTTTGAAATCACTTTTTGAAGCAAATAGTTATTAGAAATAATTGTTATTTTTGTTTCAAATAATCCGATTATAAAATGTTGCATTAAAACCATTCTGTTGAAGCAAACCAGGGCTTACATGATAAAAATTAACATTAATAAGGGTTTCACTTATAAAAAAGATTAAGAAAGGCTGATCTGAGAAAAATGACATGAAAAGAATATAAGTGACTGTCACTGACAGCACTATTAGACCTCATATCCGGTCATAAAGTAACAGCAACGAGAATGCCAATGGCGCTGTTTTCTAAAAATAATAGCCACTTGTTCACGCGTTGGACATTGTCACTAGTCGAAGACAACGAATCTACCATAAATATAAACCATTCATCTTACTTTGCTACTATGCGTTTCTCATTTCTGTTTTTGTTAATATTACGTTGCAATATATCCACGTTTATTTTGGTTTCACGTTTTATTGTTATTTGAATATGTAATCATAAAAAGATAGAACTGTTTTCGTATAATATTAAGGAAATTAGAAGAGCTGAAGGGCTGTTACACTTTAAGTGAGATCAAAGAGTTTTATCGCAAGGTAAGGATAATTAATATTTTTCTCCTATAATTCCTTAATAAGCCTTTCTGTAAATATATTACCGAGATTAGCGCAAACTCTCGGCGAAACAACAAGCTAAATCACCGCTCCCAAATAAATTGAGATGAATTTTGATTACAAGCCTCTTTCAATGATAAAGTGTTGATACCCCGGTCTGCTTTCAGTTATTGACTACCTTCTCACGACAACCTATTCATTTTTATGGATTTTTAAAGAGTTTATTGACTTTTGATGCTCTCTGTATACAAATATATGTAACATTGTAAACGTGGATGTAATGCTGTACAAATACTGATTGCGTAGATGTATAACGAACAGCAACATGGCACCCCAGGCAGATTACATATTCATTTTTATTTCAAGTGACATTTGTCGTCAAAATTCAGTTGTCACTCTGATCGTACCTGATTCGAAACATTTACATTTTTGAAAACAAGTACCGCAGTCTAGTTAAAGCAATGTGCAGAATCTTCAAGCGCGTAGTTGGGATCCAATACGGAAGCTTATTAACAGAAAGGTTTCCGTTCTTGAAATTTTTAGTTCCGAATCAGATACCTCACCATCGTTATATAAAAGTCATATGATATAGATTAGTCTAAAAAACGAGGCAGTACAGTAAAAGTTATTAAGAAATAGCTATTTTCAGAACAGAAAGCGGAAAAACCGACATTAAATTGGAAAATTATGGGACTATTGCTAAATTACGTTATAATTTTGATTTATATATTTTTATCTTATATATATACTCGTATATACACCTTCGACAAGTATGCATACATCGGTATCGTTTATAATTTTGAAATACATTTTTGAAGACAGATAGAGTGGAAGTCAAAGAAGAGGAGCCGAAGCGTAATGCAACTTGTTTCAAGGTAGAAAGCCTAATTCGAAAAGAAAAAGAAATGGTTTTCAACTTTCACATACGCTATTAAAAGTTTCGATATTGATTGACCTTTTTTTTTTCCCCCAATGGCGGGCCCGAGCAGTCGCCAGACGTTGGGCACGGTTTGAATTTCAGTTTGCAAATTATCTCAATCACCAGCATTATGCAGAGAATGGGAAGGGAAAATATCCAAATTTTAAAATAGAGAATTAAGGGACTATTGCATATTAAAGTTAGTATATTGTCTTACATATTTATATATATAAGTGAACAAGATGCCGTTATCGTTTACTAATCGTGTCTTACTTTCCAGAATTTGACATCTGGTGGACTTTAAATGTGAAGCCATAAATTCAAGGATACATCTTTGATAGCGTTTCTGAAATACAGAAGTAAGACAATGAATCAGTTGACTTACAGGAAAGCATCCAGAAGCTCTTGTAATCATATAAAGAGATACATAGTATTAGGAAATCTCTAGGCAGAAATTTAAGCAAAAATACTCTTGAAATACAATCCCCCCTTTTTTTAAAAACGTTAGTGCTGAAACTTTATATTCATTAATATTTTACCGAATGAAATTATTTCAGTCACTTACTGTAAAAAATATTCTATATAATACTTTGTTTATGCGTTGCATATATTTTTTATATATTTCCTGAAATTTTTAATATATTCTCATAAAATAAAGAAAAGAACACTTTATTTTCAAAACACATATATCAGTTAATTAAACAAATTATGATTTATAAATTACCTCCATTCCCAGCTCCGATTACTCTCTCTAGTATTTGAGGTTGAGCTGCAAATAAATGTATATAGGAGTTTATCAACCATTTATAGCAAATCCACTTGACATCAGATACCATATTATATACATACATAGATATAAGGATTTCCAGAGCATTTACATATTTTCCTTATTACCAATAAGAAAATAAGACTTAGCTGAGAATATGGAGTATCCAAAATTTTACGATTTGTTTTCTATGAAATGGAAGTTGTAAAGTAAAATATCCGCACATGCAGGCTTAGGGATAAAAGGGGGTATTTAATTAAACTAAAACATATTTACATTTCTGCTAGGTGCAGAATGTTTTTGTCATCAAATTTTAGAGCATTATAGAAACATTACAAAGAGGTATTTATTGTTTTCAGTAAGTATGAAGCTAGGAACGTACTCTGTCATTCACATTTATCAAACGTTTATCGTTATCTCATACTTTAACAAATATGAAATTTTGTTTTCCCTGCCCTTGTATTTTCGAGAAATAAAGTTTACAGATGATATAAAAAATTAATATCAATAATACGGACATCTTTTAAAATGTTTTTGCAAGTATCATCAAAAAGTAGTTTTAATCGTAAAATGATTTAGTAAAAGAATTTTTACAATATAAATATATTTATGAATATAATATACTTAAAATAAAAATTCATTTCATACCGCATATTATAATAATCTTTTCATACTGTATTATTGATATAATTATTTAATTATAATTCGTACATTTCGCCAAACATTTAAGTGAAGATCGATATTTATATTTTTTATAAGCATGTCCTATTGCTTCTTAGTATTTCATGCAGTTGCATATTATGTTACGTATAATGAATTCACTGCCTAAATTAACTGTATAATGGATGTAAAGTAAAGTTGTCAATTTTCGTGGCAATTAAGGATTGTGAAATAAATAATGCTAAGCCATATCAGTATATCACGAAAAATACTCTAATTTGTTTGTATATGAAATATCTACAGTGGCTAATATTTGTTTCTGGACACTTGTAATTGTTTTCAAATTTATTTGCGTAGATCTTGTGTTAAATATTTAAACACATATTTAAAATGTTTTTTATGACTATCTTAGTTAATAAATATAAAAAAACTATTTTTATTCATGTTTTGGCATTTATCAACATTTTCTATACGTGTTCTTTTTTTAACTTATAAAGCACATTAAAAATTTAAATAAATAAATTTAATTTTAAATACATATATATGTATTTTTGGAGTTTTGGAAAGGACTGGGAGGAAGAATGCTGGTCTAGTAATGGTGAAAGGGGTGAAGTAGGCAAAAACGTTTGAGAACTGCTGCTTAAGTCGCTTAATTACTTTATAATGGAGTGAAAATAGTAGTTTTTTATTTAAAAAAAAAGTTGATATTTTTCTTCTATTTTTATTGCTTTAATATCTGAAATTTTTGACAAAAGATTTATTCTCTAATGCGTCAGCAACTGCATCCTACTCTTCTCTAAATCAGCAACTGCATGCTACTCTTCTCTAAACGAACGCTGGAATTTGCGTGATTCACATCATAAAACAAAATAAAGTGATATAATTTATAATGTTAATACTTTTCTATTTAAAATTTAAGAGCACTTTGAGGAACTAATTGTTTTTTTCAATGCAAAATATTTAATATTTTTAATTTACTCATAATATCCTTATACTCATCCTTATGTTGCGTGCGTACGGGTTCGTTATGAAATGAATGCACAAGTCCGATGAAAAATGAACAAAAATTTATTATTATCACAACAAAAATGCTTAAATTTTCTCAAATTATCATGCAGTATTACAATATCTCACAGTAGTTATCTTTTAACTACTCAAATGTCCAATAGAACGTAATTTAAAACAGCTAAGGAACGCTAATCCGCGAATTCGCTACAATCAACAACAGTAGTTTTCTAAACAACAACAAACTAAGCAACAACTACTAACTGAGATGTTTTCCTCCTTTTATAAGATTTTAAAATCACGCGCTAGAATTTTCCAGTACTTTCTCGAAATCAAAAAGAGATATTATTATTTAACGCACGCGCTCTTGTATTTTTAATTTTTCCGGCTTAGCTTTCTTTTAATATTCGTCACGCGCTGCACTGCGCGAGAAATAAAACCATTTAATTTATAATTGAACTAACATTAGCTTTTTAAATACCAAATTCGTAACACTGCCCCCTTCCCAAGGACTGCACGTCCCGGGCAGTACAATCCCTGGACAGGAAGCTAAACTTACAACTGTGGCATAAATGCAACTGAGGCATAAACATTACATTACAATATCAAACAATATAAACAATAAATGCAATAACTAACTTAAACAAAACAAATGCTATCAAAACAAATACAAATACAAATACAAATACAAAATAAATACAAATCAATACTAAATGCAAATACAAATACTAAATACAAATCAAATCAAATACACATTTATAAACAAAAAGGACCATGGTCTGATACTATTTACAATTATTTACATTACGTACTATGGCCATAGTAATGAGCTAACCTGTCGTAATGAACGACTTTAGGTTTAGAGTTCGAAGACTTACGAATCCGAACCACGACGTCATTCAGCCTTTTAGGACTGTATACGGGCCATCCCAAGGTGACTGTAATTTCGGACAAAGTCCTTTCCGTCGAGTCGGATTCCACAACCACACCTTGTCTCCTTCGTGGAACTGATGTTCAGTATTGTGTCGTAGCGGGTCTTCATCTTCTCCGTCGCCAAGTTGACTCGCTCTCGTGCAAAGTTGTGCATTACTTCAAACCGGGCCTGGAGATCTTGAATATATTCCTCAGACGATGAAGGAGCATCCGGAGGGCGGCCAAACAATAGATCACAATGCAGACGAAGGTCACGACCGAAGAGCATCTGTGATGGAGAATAGCCGGTAGTCTCGTGGACAGCACTGCGGTAAGCCAGTAAAAAGAGTGGTAATTTCTTGTCCCAGTCCTGTTGGTTTCTGGAAACCACTAATGAGAGGTTATTAAGGATGGTTCGATTGAACCTCTCTACCATGCCGTCCGACTGGGGATGCAATGGCGTCGTTTGAGTTTTGTCAATGCCGAGTAGTTTGCATAGTTCTTTGAGTTTAGTTTCCTGAGGCAAAATTCCTTCCCTGATCGGAATGTAACTGAAGAGGCACTCCGAACCTGGAAATCCAGTGCTGTATCATTACCTCAGTTACTGTGACAGCCTCTTGATCAGGAATAGGATAAGCTTCAGGCCACTTGGTGAAGTAATCAATGACAACGAGTATGTATTTGTTGCCATCAGCAGTTCGTGGCAGAGGTCCCAGGATGTCAAAGGCGATACGTTCAAAAGGCGCCCCTACGTTGTAAACGTTTGCAGCTTGCCTCGGCTGTGTCTCCTTCGGTCCTTTCCGACCTGCACAGGCATCGCAAGATCGGCACCACTTTTGCACGTCATCCTTTGCATTATTCCAGTAAAAAGCGCTCACGAACTCTCTGCAAGGTCTTCATTATTCCAAAGTGACCTCCAGTAGGGCTGCTATGTAACTCTTTAAGGACATCAGGAATGCGGGATCTTGGAAGTATAAGTTGCCATCGGAACGTCTTCCCATCATCCGATTCGAATTTCCGGTATAAGACGCCGTTTCGAATGTGAAGTGAATCCCAGAGTGCCCAATATTTTTGGTTGTAGGACTACAGATAGAAATGTCCTGCCAGGTAGGTTTTCTGTTTGATGACTCCATTAAATCAATTATGGGTTTAATGTCGCGGTCTTCCAGCTGGTCTTTCCTGACTTCATCATCACTCCACGGGTTCTCAATCAGCCGATGTTTGATGTTGTAATTTGTCTTGCGACCGGAGTCAGCAGCTCGTATTTCGCTTCCACCCTGGAACAATATTCGGCAGCTTTCTTGTGCAAGGTCTTCTAAGACAGGGACGTCGGCGTTTCCCGTGTGATGATCCCTTACGATGACGGATAGTGATGTCATATTCTTGGAGTCTCTGTATCCCCCTGGCTATTTGACCCCTCAGGATTCTTGAAATTTAAAAGCCAGGCCAATGAGGCATGGTCCGGTGCGGAGGAGGAATTTTCTGGCCGTATAGATAAGTGATGGAAACTGTTCTACAGCTTTGACTATGGCGAGCAACTCTTTCCTAGTGACACAATAATTCCTCTCCGGTTTAGACAGGCACTTTCCAGTATGCCACTACACGTTCTTGGACGTCTATTTCTTGGGACAAAACAGCACCAACACTTTCATTACTCGCGTCGGTGTCGAGAATAAATGGTCGGTCAAGCTGAGGATACGTCAGGATTGGAGCAGATGTTAATGCCTCCTTTAAGTTGTTAAATGCATCCTCGCATTCTTTTGTCCACAAGAACTTCTGGTTGCTCTCTGTCAGCTTGTGTAGGGGTCTTGCGATGGAAGAAAAGTCCTTCACGAATTTCCTATAGTAGGTGCAAAGCCCTAGGAAGCTTCTCAGCTGATGGACATTTTCGGGACGTTTCCAGGATTTAACGGCTGATACCTTTTCAGGATCCGTGCGCACACCTTCTGCAGAGATGACATGTCCCAGGTAAGTCACTTCCTTTCGGAACAATTTGCATTTAGCGGGACTCAGCTTCTAATTGGCTTCTTTCAGTTTCTGAAGCACCTTCCTAACATTTTCTAAATGTTCTTCAAAACTCTTTCCGACGATGATGATGTCGTCCAGGTATATCAGGCAGGCTTCGTAAGAAAGGCCTTTCAAAACAGTCTCCATAAGACGTTCGAATGTTGCCGGCGCATTACACAGTCCAAACGGCATCACTTTGAACTGCCAAAGCCCTTGTCCCGTAGTAAATGCCGTCTTTTCTCGGTCATCAGGATGCATTTCTACCTGCCAATACCCACTCTTTAAATCAAGTGTTGAGAACCACTTGCTTCCAGAAAGAGTGTCTAGAATGTCATCAATTCTAGGAAGAGGGTAACTGTCTTTCTTCGTAACCTCATTCAACCGGCGATAGTCAACGCAAAATCTTGTTGAGCCATCTT